GCTGAGGATGGAGATGGAGGAGTGAGGGTGAGAGAGGTGGATGATGCTTAGAGATGATGGGTGTGGGGGTCTGGTTGTCCATGAGGAAGCAGGGCAGAGGGGAATGGAGCCAGTGGTGCAGGGAAGCTCATGAAAGGAGGTAAGTGCTAGAGGGAAGAGGAGGGGAAGAAGGAGAAGGAGGGGCAGGAGGGAAGAGAGAGAGGAGGAGGGTAGGAGGAAGAGGAAGAGGAAGATGAGGAGGGGGAGGAGGAAGAAGAGGATGAAGAGAAATCCTTGGAGTCTGAGTCAGGGACTGTACTGCCCAGGAAGACAGCTGTCAGATTAGTAGCAAGACAGGGTGAAAGAGCCTCTGTGTAGAGACGTGGCAGGCTATGTGGGGCAGAAGACCCAGGGGACAAGAGCAGGGTAGCACAATCAGAGACAGATGTTCCCAGAGAGCTTTCAATCAAAGGGTGTGGAAGGAAGTAAAACAAGTTACAGGGAACCATGGATGTGGAATTCTAGAAGGAAGTCACAGTTTGGGCCACAGGGACTGCTGGGTAGAAGGTATAGACTTGGTACAATCAGTTTGATGTGAAGAGGCCTGAATGTGATGAAGCTACGGCGTGGAGGACAGGTCAGGCCGTGAGTGTGTACCCAGAGGCCTACAAAATAAACCTGAGACTCACAGAGGGCAGCTGAAAGAGCTTCAGGTATTGTGAGTGACTCTTTCACTAGGCTGGGCCCCGGGAGAGTAGAGAGGAGGTGAGGAATTCATAGTAAGTCAGAGAGCATGGGAGGGAGAGCTGGCCACTGAGTCCAAGGAACAAGAAAAAGCAAAAGATCCAGCAGCTGGGATAGAAGAGGGTGCAGAGAGGCTCAGGGAAAGGCACTACACCAAAGAAGATTCATGGCAGACTTAGTGGGAAAAGAAAGTGAAGAATGCAGTTCATCCACCTCATGGTGGGTAGGGGAAGCATGGAAATGATCCCTAGAACACATTAGCAGTACTATGTCACTGAAAAACATTTCAAGATGGTAACAGGTCATAGGGTGGTTCTAACAAGGGAACGAACTTCCTCTACTGTGGTACACCTAAGAAGTAAAGGTGGTTAGGGTAGAGTGCACAGAAGTTCAGTTGTACTCATTAGAGCTTGCCCCAGAGTAAGAGGGTAACAATGGTCTGAGGACTGAGTGCAGTTCAGGGAGGGATAAGACAGGGTTGGAAAGACTCCTGAGTCCACAGGTCAACTGGAAGATTCTCTAAGGAATAATTAGTATGCCTCTGGAACAGTTCACATGAGTAAAGTGTATGGGCTAATCTTACAAGGGATAATCTTGTATCGGTTAGAAGAGTCACTCATGTAGGTAGCTATAGGATGGTGACATTTGTGAATCCAGTTAATCACAGAATTGTTGAGAAATGAAAGGGACAGGAAAGGACAGAGCCTTTTGAAGTTATTGTGGCTCACCCTTCATAATGGAGCCAGTGCAGGAAAGCAGAAGGCAGAATTCAGGGTTTCCAAAGTGTGAGGTGTTATCAACTCTCCAGGCTAAGTCAATGGTTTGCAGATTTTCAAGGCCTAAGCAGCACACAATATTGGTAGAATTGTCAGTGGTTAGACGGCAACCTTTATGTCCTAGAGAAATAACTTCAGTGACTTAGAAAATATAAAAGCATTTAAAGAGGGAGACCTATAGCTTATAGACATCCAATAGGAAAGTAGTAGCAGGAAGATCAGAAGTTCAAGGCAGCCTGGCATATAAAGGGAGACCCTGTCTTAGGAAGGAAAAAAAAAAATCAACAAAGAATATGAAGAAAAAAAATTTGAAAAAAAAATAGAAAAAAAGACAAAAAAAAGACAAAAAAAAAAAAAGACAATGAGAATTGAGAGGAGAGTTGGATACAGGTGAATTGTATCTAACATGGTCTGCAGCAAAATTAACAGAGCCAAAATGAAAAGGAAGTGTTGTTAATAAAACTGGCACTATGGGGATAGTTTTCATTTCATAGCATCTTGGGTATAATTTACAAAATTTAGAATTGATAAAATGGGCAATATTGCTCATTAAGCTCTATACCAACTATGGAATTAAGGAAAACAGGATTTGTATACAGAAAGAAATCAGCAGCTGCCCAAATCTGAAAGGAGAGCTTGATAGCAATCTTCAGAAATAAAGTATTTGACAGCTAAGGATGCAGGTGGGTATACTGGAAATCAAGAAAAAGAAGAATGGGGAATAGGTAGAGACACTTACTACCATCTATGTCCTGGCATTTTACTTCTTTCATTGCAATGTAGAGTTGAGATTGGCAATGAATTAAAAATTTGAGATTTCTAATAAAAACTAAAGAATAGAAAGGAGTTTCTTTTTCAACAGGTATATGATGGGCCAAACACAAAAGTCCAAGTATTGAAACAAGATTAGAGTTTATAATCACATTCTATTGTTGATAAGGAAACCCTCTGAATTTAACCTAAAAGGAAGAAAATCTTTTAATTGCCAAATTTTTATAATAGTCCAAATAGTCCATAGCCAGCAGACCAAAACCTCTGGGCTAATTTAATTTGTAAGATCTGTTCTAAAATCAACTCCTCAGTGAAGAGGGTTGAGAACATCTCTATTCTTCCTCGCTTGGTGGAAATATTTTCTGTTACTGTTGTTTTCCTATGATATATGTAACTTCGGTATGTAATTTTGGTATCATTGTTATGTGTATTTTGGTATTGTAAATTGTCCTTATTCTTTTAATTGCACTCCCTGGGGTGTGGGTCACTGAGTTATCAGTTATGGAGTGAAGCTGAAACATGGGAGGGGCTAGTGTTCTTAATTGGGAAGGACTAGAGTTTTCAGTGGGTTCAGCATTTTACTTCCCTTTGAATTAAGTAAAGGCATACCTTTAAACAGCCAGAAATTTAGTGATAAACACAATGAGGAAGGAATTCTGAAGCAAGGAGAGATACTTACTGGGAAAAAAAGTAGATAAAATGCCGAGTCTCCTGGGATGATGGCAAAAGACAGAGAGCTACATGAAGGTTGGACCCAGATACAAGTTTAGAACAAGGGTAATTAAAACTACATTTACGTAAGAGAACAAAAAGTTTAATTGCTGGCTCGTGGACATAGTTCAGACATATATAGCTGGAGAGAAAACCAGACCAGGAGAGAAAAGTGAAGCTATAAGAAAATATAAGTAGAAAGGAATAAAGGAGGTAATTAAAAGTTAGAGAGGGCCTAAAGCTCAAAGGAGTCCAGTCAGGAAAGTGCCTTCCCACCCAGGGAGTTACAGATCGAAGTGGCTGTACAACATACACACAGTTCCACTCAGGATCAGAGGGAACAACCTGGGATTCAGACTCAGCAATGGTGCCAACATGAATCTACCTCGTGCCAGAGTCTGAGTAGCCTGATCTAGCACCCAACACAGATGAGATTGGGCAGGGGCTCCCAGGAACCAACATCAAAGAAGGGAGTTAGAAGAGGGGCTATGAAAGAAACTGGGTTAAGCTCCAAATGTAACTGAATGATGCCAGGGATAACTATTTACTAGTACTTTTATGATTTCTTGTAACTCTGTAACTTCCCCAATATTTGTTAATGCTGTTAATCTGTTTTTCCTGTACTTACAAGTAGTAAAAATTGTTCAAAATATTAATGTAGTTTGTGTACTTATTTCTGTGAAAACTGGGTAACTAGTGTAAGTGTTCTTATAAGAGATACACCACTAAGACCTTCCTAGATTCCCAAATTATAAATAGTTCCTCTGGCACTAGCAGTTGGCTGTCTTTTAGATCCCCCACCCCCGTCCCAGTGCAAAAACTGATCAAGTAAATTATAAAGCCTTTCTCAAATATGGATACACGATGGTTGACTAAGCTACTCATTAAATTGAAACACTCTCAGATACCAGCTTTATGCTACAAGATATTTAAAAATGATATATTTTAAAATGCCAAGAATCTGTTAAATAACAAAGTTTTTCCAGAGTGCCCTGGAAAGAAACATTAGGGAGAAGTAGGTCATGATTCTTTATAAGACATACCAAGTATTAGAACCTTCACTTTTGGTTACATTGTTCCAGTAGGAAGCCTGAATTCCTTATGGGCTACCACTATATAAATTCAGTTTTTCTTTTAACATTATTAACAGCAAGTTTTTTCTCATAGACTTTGTTTTAAAAGTAACATTTCTGCAGCAGTAACCACTTTTATAAACATACACACACACACACACACAGGTCTCTGGTTTTCTTCCCCCCCCACCCCCAGTACTCCATTACCCTCTCTTTCTCTTCTACTTTTTTTTTTTTCCCTCCAGTCATGATTGATCCCCTTTCTAGTTTCATGACTTTTATACACACACACACACACACACACACACACACACACACACACACACACACACCCCTACACCCCTACCCCCCCGCCCCCATTAAATTCTGGGAAAAGAACTGTAATCTTGAATGCTGTGAACATTGTCTAGACATTCTAAGAACTCAAGAGGCGATGCATTTTTAATCAAGCGACCCCTTCTGGAGTTAGTACCTGCTGTAGGATCCTCATCAGGCAAACGAACAAGTGTGTAACATATTCCTGGTTGATTATAAGTGAGGCTGGGGGCTGGGATGCAACACAGCACCTCATAGGAATCTGATGGTTCCATCTGCACCGTCACTTTCTCTAGCAGTTGGTCATTTAGAGTGTTGGTACAGTCAAACTGAAAAAGTCAGCAAATAGAAAAGTTGTCAAGAATAGGAAATATTTTCAAACGAGCTGTTTCTTCTCCCTCATAGCCCACAATTAAGCTCTGGACCCTGCCATATTCTGCACTGTAAGTCTCCTAAGATTTTTCTTTTTTTTTTTTTTTTCCTTTTTCTTTTGGTATTCAGAATTGAGCCCAGGGCCTCACTCATGCTAACAATATGCACCCAACTCCACTTGATTGTTTTTTATGAGAGATATAGATAGCCAGCCTTATTTTTAGTTCATTTTATTTAACTACCCATTTTATTTCTTCCTGAGGTTGATCTCTACAAAGTGTTACAAATTTGACAACTGTCAAGTTTAATAAGTTCTTTGAACAATCTACTTAATTTACCTTGTTAAATGCTGATTTAAAAATATACTTTATGTTGTTCATTTCTTCAGACATTTCAATTTTACATCCTTTCAGATTTTAGCTATCAAAAATAGCCTATCGTATGAAGAATCTCTATACCTCTGAAAACTAGAATTGTTGGTAAAGTGATTCTGAGCTAAAGAGGAACTAGAATTCTAAGCTAAAGGGGAAGTGCTGTTTGGCTTCAAACATACCAGTTTATATTTAGGGAGCTAAAGGAACCAAAAGTTACTTATCTCACCTGGAATACAATATGGTTGGTAAACATATGCTTGATACAACGAACAAAATATTCTGTCTCTGCTTCTGTAAGCTGAACAGGCTCAGAAGACTTGAACAAGGGTCCTAGATTCATAAACTCAGGAATGGCAGCCAGTTGTTCTAGTAAGCAGAAAAGAAAGAAAACCAGAAGCAAGTACAATATGAAGACAGGAAGAGACTCCACTGACATGCAGAAAAAGGGCTTCGTTTCTGAGGTTTAAGGACTCGTTAGCATTCAACTGATATGTCTCTAAGCTTCAGTGAAATAATCTTTTGAGTTAACGAATTTATACACTGGAAAAGTGTGGAAAAGATAAACAAAACTGTGTTTCTTTCCCTCTTAACCAACCAGATTATGTAGGAGAATAACATTCTCAGTTTGTAAGTTAGCAATGGAAACTGGAAAGTTTCATGGACACCTGTAGCTCCAGCAACTATAACCTATGAACTGAGAATTAATCAAACTGAATAAAAGCAGGGACTTTATTATATTTATAATGCCTAGGGATGAAAGATTATTACTTCTACTCATTAAATTATCTTACCTTGGAAAATATCTTGCCTGGAAGGCGCCAACTTCTCTGGCTTAGGAGCCACAAGTGTGATTTCTACAAAGACAGATATGAATAATCAAATGAGCTTTCTTTCGCTATTAGCTACCGCTGCATACAGACGGAGATGAGGGGAACAACTTCTAGCAGATACACATGGCAAACAGCCTTAAATTATGTGGCACTTTGCACTAAAAATAAAAAACTTTCATCTTGGGACATGTTTCTTATTCTTGATTTTAGACAAAAACCAAGAGACTTAAACTACAATACTAAATTAACAATGTTATCTATTTTGATCTAAAACATAATTAACAAAATAGTTACTAAGAAAATGCGCTAATGTTTTTTAGCTTTCTCTAGGTTAGAAGATATGTTAATATTTGCTAGTTTTTGCCAAATTACTTGTACACAGAAAAAACTAACAGAGTTAAATATTTCTGTTACCTGACTTCTGTTCAAAGAGAGGAGCCATAGCAAGAGGAATCGACTTCAAGTCAAAGGGTTTTTCTGAAGGCTCCAAAGTATATTGGTATAAGGCCTTTTCCATGCCTGCTATAGAAACTGTCAGACCTACAAACAAAGGCAAATCTCAGCATTATAATCTCTTTCTAATGATTTATAATGTTTAAGTTTTCTGAAAGAACTATATTATCACAGATTCTATAGTCTAAGAAATTAAATAAAGGTTATTATATAAAACTGCCTTGTAAACTTAGAAGCTGCCTTATTTCTGTCAAGGAAACATGGGAGCACAGCATTAAATGTCAACAAAATGCAAATATCTCTCAGAAAAGAAAATATCTTGGCCATATGGGAACTAGGACAAGAAGGGTAGAGCCTTGTAAGAGGGAGATAAGAACCAGGAGCTGGGCATGGTGGTACTCAGGAGGCAGAAGCAGGCTGTGAGAACAAGGCTAGCCTAGTCTACATAGTGAGTGCCAGGCCAGCTGGGGCTACAGGGAGACCCTGTTCAGAAAATATACAAAAACAAACAAACAAAAAAGAAGAATCAGGAGTAAGCAAGTGTTTGAATTCTTGAACATTATTTCACAGGCTTTGCCATTACCAAATTAAAGAAATACCTTTGTCAGCACAGGTTCCCCTAGAAATGGAAATACATCAAAGACAAAACACAAAGCAACTGTGTAAAGGAGTTAATATGTGAATAATCATAAAATAGGTTTCTAAAAAAAAATGGTTTCTAAGACACCATTTGGAGAACAGAAGTGTATGTATCCACACTCCTGGCTCTCACTGACCATTGAAGATGTATGTGGCATTCAGGGCCATTTGTCTCTGTTGCAGCACATTCAGGTAGAAGGTAGCTCGGTCCCGGACCTCATCATCAGTATCCATCATACATCTGTTCAGAAAAAAAAAAAAACAGCGTAGGCATTCTTCAATACTCCCAAAGATTTCCAGCAGCTTTACTACCAGGTCTAAAGAGCACAATCCATCTGATATCACTTTTATGACAGGGTTCAACAACAGCCAAAACAGGCTCCTAAAATCTACACAAATCTTGAGATCTGTTCTGAATTACTAAAGAAATGCTATTGTAAATCAGATGCACATTATTAGGAGACACTGAAATAACCAGGAAGAACACAGTAACATGAGTGATAATTTGAACCTGTAACCACATGATCCCAATGAAGACTGAAATTTCTCTATAATTAAGAAACGGAAATATTATACTTTCTAAAGGATATAAAAGGATCAATAGCATTCAGAATCCAGACACTGCTATTGTTCAACTGGCAATTTGTTTCATTTAAACTAGTCAGCCTTTGGCTTATGATTTATTTACTTCAATTATAAAATTCAATCACAAAATTGCTAAAATTTGTTCTCCTCATCAACTTGGGAGTTATAAAGACCATGGAAAGCTATTACTATTTTCAGTTTCAATTCTTCATATAAATCACCTAACACTTCTTTAGTTTAGTGCCTATTGTACAAATTGAGGTACATATATTACTCTCTCAAAATCATGTAACAGAAATTCAGACTCAAATTTTACATGTATCTTGTACACATGTATTTACTAGAAAGAGAAAAGCTATTTGCCTCTGACTTTCTCCATCAGATCCTCTCATAGGTCCTACAATGTATCAGGTATGGTACAACGAGGTTTTTCACTACTTACTTATATGGAATTCTTATTTTTAAAAATACGACATTCTTTTACATACCTTTGTAAAAGTACAAGGATGCTTGGGAGAAGACTCTCATTCTGAGCCCCAAACTTAGCCAAAGCACTCACAGCAGCTGTTTTGAAACAAAAGATAAGGCAATATAAACACCAGCTTTTCAGAGTTAAACAGTAATCATTAAAAAAAAAAAAATCAGAGCCCTGGGAGGTTAAAACACAACGATTATCATACTTTTGAGACTAGCTTGGATTACACAGTGAATTCCAGGCTAATCTGGTCTACAGAGTGAGACCCTGTGCCAAAAATCCAAAAGCAACCCAATCCCAAACCCAAACCCAACAAAAAACAGATTAAGAGAAGCAGCTGGTATTCAGTGGAAATGAAGTCTATTTTATTGAAGTTTCCTCATAAGAATAAATAGAATTATGAAGGTTCTAGAGAGCTCTACAGCAGAAAATATTTCCATTCAATGAGGAAAAAGAATCATGTAGATTTTGTATATGAGTTGTCTCTAACCTACTATAGCCTCTTCTCTATGTTCTGATGTGATTCAGTTCTAATTTCAAACAAGTAGTGTCAAGTATGTAAAGAAAATCTATTATTAAAATCTCTTTCATTCGACAAAAATTCAGTATTCACCTAACTTCTATCTGGAGCTGTGGCAGGTGCTGGAAACAGAAAGAAAAAATATGGTCTTTGACCTAAGGAATTATACTACAGTAAGAGAGACAGGTAAGTAAAGAGAAATACAGCCTAGCCTAGTAAATTCCTAAAAAACTATAGCAAAGATATCAGGTGACTACAGAGATGGATTCTTAAATCAGAGCTGGTAGTGGAGAAGACAAGAAACTGAAATTTGTTATTTCAGCCAATTGTTTAGAATAGGTAGTTTAGCCAGAGGGAAAAGGCAGGAAAAGAGTTTTACAAAGAATATTAAGTACAAATGTTTTATGCCCAGAGAAGAAAGTGTTATTACTAGATTTAGATGAGCAAGGCTAAGCCCTGGACCCATGTGAGAGAATGAGAGATAAGATATAAACCAAAAATCATATATGGCTAAACCTCAAAGTTTTTATTAAAGGACAGATTATCCCATATAGATATGGGATAAATTTCTGCATTCTAATGACTAATTTTTAGTAGAATATGAAGAATGAACAGGGTATTTGTGAAACTAGAAACAGGCTAGCTAGGGATCTGAGATGGATGAAAGCCCAAACCTACATCCAAAGACAAAAGAGACCGGAGAAGGAGGAGATGGCAAGAAGACAGAGGCGGAAGGATGACAGTAAACGGACAAGGGCTGCAGAGCAGTGGCAGAAGCTTCTGCTTCTAAGTATGTGAGAAAAGTGAGGATTTCCATTTAGGTCAGTTTGAGTTCCAGGTTAAATCTAAGGCAGGCTGGACATTCAATTCAGAAGAGTCTAGAATGTCACAGTATACCAATAGAGCTCCAAAAATGATCAAGAAGAACGTATATAGTGAGAAGACAAAAATCCTAAGGGGAAATAATGAACCAGCCTAGAGAGGCTATAAATATGACCAGGAATGACAGGTTATGCAGAGTAGTGTGAAAACTGAGAGAAAAGAGGGTTTCTGGAAGTACTTAGTCAACAGCACAGCAAATTGAAAGATAAACAAAAAGACAAACACTAAGCAGTTAAGTGACTGCCTAGCTAATTTATACCTAATTTTAAAAAGTGGTTTCAAAAAAAAAAATTAAGGAAGAAGGTTAAATTATACTAAGCTGAAGAGAAAATGAAAAAAAAAGTAGTTGAAGGTACTAGCAATGGCTACTTCAAGCTTATCTTGAAAGAGAATAAAAGTATAGGGACTAAGGTCAGTAGTTAATGAGACAGGATTATAGGAGTGTTTACCTAACACTAATGGGAAGGACTAGCTAGGAAGAATCACTTAAAAATGCATATACTTACACATCCATACACATTCATACTTTTAAGTATAATGATGAAAAAAGTAGCTCCTATAGTATTCCTATTACACTGAAAGGCAAGGGATCTTTGTCTCTAATACAAAGCAAAAATCTAGATGGAAGCTGGAGTGCAAAGGAAGAGCTGTCTGTCTGGACCCAGGGTATCCTCCAAGTTCACACCATCAGAAATCTTCCAACTTTATTTTCCAATTTCACTCTCTTGAATTATTTTAAAAGACCAGCGATGACATTACTGTTAGTGTTCCAATGACTCACCAGCTCTGACAGCCTCATTCTCCAGAACTACCCTATTAAAAATGAAGCGAATATACTTAGAGGGCACCGGGGTTCTTGGTCCCTCTTTGCCCAGTAGGTGTAGAATCTTAGTAGCCAGAACAGTGTGTTCACAGTCCTCAATGAATTCACACAGGTGGGCCAGACCCGCTTCTTTACTCTCAGGGTTCTCTTCCACAATGCTGATTATGCAATCCACAATGGCCCTTTTGTATTCAAAACCTCCCTGGCAAAAGAGAAAATAAAACTGCCATTTGCTCTAAAGGAAATATTTTTGAGAAATTGGTCTTAAGATTCATGTTTATAATATTAAAATTTTAATTCACTCTATTTAAAACAACAAAAGTACCCCCCCTCAAGTGAGAAAACAATCATCATGATAATACAGCAATGAGAATTAAGCACAGCACCTGAGAGGCATTTGGAATGAGAAGGGAATATGCTTAACATATGGTAAAGAAATGTGCTTAAATTGTTGTGATGAGAGCTCCTGAGGGGTGGATATACTCAAGATAGACTGTACACATGTATGAAATTTCCAAAGAATAAATAAAAATAAAACAAACCATTAGGTGAGTTAAAAATAAAAGCAACAATAACAATAAATCATTGTTAATATTTAATGGCAATTATGGGAATTTAAGAGAACAACTTGCTATGTGTAAAAAGTCATCTACCTACATCATCTCGAAGCATGTTGGAGAGAAAAGTCATCATGACGCTGTGCTTTCGAGGGTATTTCTGACAGAGAGCACTAATCGCTTGTACAACCACCACCTGCAGAAAAACAGAACATTCACCTTAGAATGACTGCTTGACTACTACTTACCAAAAACACACATTTTAAAAAAATTATTTATTTAATAACCATATAATTAGAAGAGGCATTTCATTACAACAGCATTGACATAGTCAATAACAATTTCCAGAGCTAAGATGCATCTCTTTCAAAAGTGGCTGTAAATTTTTAGGTTTACAGTTGAATTAATACACTTATACAATATTGAACTCAGTATAGACACTGTAAGACATAAAATTGAATGAGTTTTTAACTTTTAAAAAGGATCTCCATTTCATTTTAAAATATGCTGTTTCTTACAGAAAAACTCATTGTTCTTGCTACTAACACTGAGATGTTGGTACATGCATCTCTAATCTGTATGTATCTGATTATTACTGGT